TTCCGTCTTTAAATTATGAAAATTTGTGATAAGAGCAAGGGCTTTTTACAATGTTGTCAAGTATTTAAGGACTTGGACTATTTCTACAGATTGTAGTTTCATGGAACTTCGAATTTCTCAAAAAATAGTTAATTCCTCATTTAAGATATTAAGCACTGGAGATACTGTTGTTTGAATTTTTATGTGTCCCGTTATGTTCTGCCTTCAAGTTTCTGATTAGTTTGATTACCTGGGAGATATAATTTTGATTTCTTCATTTTTTCAGTTGGTCAGTAAAGAGTTATTGACTCTCAGCCAGGAGGGGCTTCATTATGAAGCAGGCGTTTCAACCACAGCCTTCTGGCCTTTGGCTGGGCCATTCTTCATTGGGAGTGGGAGGCGCTGTCCTGGGTGTTATGTTTAGCAGCAGCCGCTCCCTATTCCAACACCAAAATATGTCTCCAGACAATGCCAATGTCCCAGGAGAGCAAAATCATCACCCTCATTGAGAGGTATTGATGATAATGGGAGAGAACAGATGGGAGTTGGAGGAGGGAGGGAGGCAGCAGACATGACTGCTGGGGTGGGAGACACAAGTGGGTCACAGAGACACAGAGGAGGAAGGACAGAGAAGTCTGCTACAGGGGTGGATCCTGGGCACCGAGGGAGAGGAGGGAGTCAGTAACAACAACTCTGTTTGGGCAACTGAAGTAATTGTGCTGGTTTTATTAAAAAATAAAGGAGGAACTGGTATGTAAGAGAAGAGAGATTGAGTTTCCTGTGTGTTGGATGTGGCTAGGGACAAGGTATTTTCTGGGAAGTAGCTTCTGGAGTCTGCTGTCTAGGAGAACAGTAGGGACTGAGAGGTAGATTATGAAGGCAACAGTTAGGAAATTGCTTCCAGGACAGAAAAGTTGTCTTTTTTAAGGGGCGATCATTTTGCTGAAAAAAAGATGAGTTGGATAATTAAAATACAACCTTGTATTAACGACTCTAAAACATTCTACTTATGCCAAGCAAACAGGAAAACAGTGAAAGCCCTCAAAAAGCCAATTATCAAAGGCATTTCACTCTATTTTATTGTTTTTGGGGTATGGGGCCTTGTGCAAGCCTAAGGCCTTTCACATGCTAGGCAAGTGCTGTACCCCCGAGCTGTACCCCTAGACCCCATTTAATGTTTACTGTTGGTAATCATTATGTGATTTTAATTACAAAAAAGATAAGAAATTCACACACTTCTTGAAGCCTGCTTTCTTTTCCAACATTTAATATGAAAAATTTCAAACACACAGAAAAGTTGAACTTCCTATCATATAATTTCTATCATATAATCTTATAATACATTTTATTAGATTTACTTCATCATATAACTGTCCATGCAGCCATTAAAGCATTTTACTTTTGATACATTTTAGAGTAAGTTGCAGAAATTTGTACATTTATCACAGCTTTGCAGCATACATATTATGAAACAGAGTTAAATATTTGTTTAAAATTTAACAACCTACGCTTACTAATTTCATTTTTTATATTTTATGTATGTATTTATTTGGGGACAGTTGTGGGACTCCAACTCAGGGCCTTGTATACGCTAAGCACATATACCAGCCCTAAGCAATGCTCCCAGCCTGCTAATTTTATGTTTAAAGTCTATATGCAATTTCCTCTGCTGGAAAATGAATAGCACTGCATTTTATTTTAGGTACAGTTTTTGTGACCTTTTAGGGTTGCTAATAGTGAAGACTTTTACCAACAGCTACATAAGCTAGATCCTTCAACACAGGGGCTGGTCACATTTGCCCATTTCTTTTCTACATCCAGACATATAGGATGTGGCTGCATACAAGGTGGGTTCTCTGATTACCTGATTTTTCCAACCTCAGATGTGTGTGTGCGTGTGTGTGTGTGCTCACGCACTGCTGAGAATCAAACCCAGGCATGTGCTCTACCATTGAGCTGCATCACAAGCCCTGATACCCTTCCTTGGTCAAATGTACTTAAGCTTAGGCCATGTCCCAGGCATCTTTTTTTTTTTCTTAAATTATTTTATTGGTACATTTTAGGTACGCAACACGTTTACATTTATCATTGGGTGCTTGTACCTGTACATGAGTATCTTGGTTCTTATTTTTCCCCCTTTTCCCTGCCCTCCCTTCACCCCCTCCACCCTTCCCTATTAACAAAGACTTTGTTTCCATTTTTTCCTTTTCTCATAATTTTTCCTTTCCCTTCTTTCCTTTCCCCTGCCCCTCCCACTACCCCTACCCCTTTGGCCTTCCTATTTCAAATTCTCAATTGTTCATTTAAATCATTTTAACCCTTATTTTACATCTTCAATTTCTCACATTAGAGAAAATATTTGGTATTTACACATGTGTGTCCTATTTATTTCACTCAAGAGTATGGCCTCATTATGCATCCATTTAGCTATAAATGTCTCTAGTTTCTTGTTCTTTATGGCTGAGGAGTACTTCATTTTATAAAACAAAACCCCACATCTTCTTTATCCAGTCTCCAGTTGATGGGCACTTGAGCTGCTTCCAAGCTTTAGCGATTACGAACTGTGCCGCTATGAACATGGGTGCACATATATCACTGTGGTATGATTCTTTTAATTCTTTTGGGTAGATAACCAGAAGAGGAATAGCTGGGTCAAATGGGACCTCAAGTCCTAGTTCTTCGAGGTATCTCCATACTGATTTCCACAGTGGTTGCACCAGTCTACACTCCCACCAACATTGGAGAAGAGTTCCTTTCTCCCCACAACCCCGCCAGCATTTGTTATTGGTTGATTTCATGATAGCAGCCATTCTTTCTGGGGTGAGGTGAAATCTCAGTGTTGTTTTCATCTGCATCTCTCGAATGACCAGTGATGTTGAACATTTTTTCATGTTTCTTTGCTGCTTTTGCTTCTTTGTCTGAGAAATGTCTGTGCATTTCAGATGCCCATTTTTGAATTGGGTCTTTGAATTTGGGGGTTCCGATTTTTTTCAGGTCTTTATATATTCTAGATGGTAGTCTTTTGTCTGAGATACAGCTGCTAAACATTTTTTCCCACATTGTAGGTTGTCTCTTAGCTCTGTTGGTGGTTTCTCTTGCAGTGTGGAAGCTTTTTAATAAGATGAGATCCCAGTTGTTGATTCTTTGTTCTAGTTCCCATGCTACTGAGGTTTAATTTATAAAGTCTTTTCCTATTTTTTTTTTTGGTACTGGGGATCAAACTTGGGACCTTGCGCTTGCGCGGCAGGCACCAGAACCACTGAGCTAAATCTCTGGCCCTGGGCATCTTTGAGATTACTAAATACCAAGGAATGCTTTGGCAAATCTTTGCAGTTTGCCTTTATAATATCTGTATCTGTCCCCTAAAGAGCAAATGATGTGGAGCTGTTATAGGAATTTGAGCCCTAAGTTTGTGGGCTCAAATATTGCTTTTTGCTGCTACAAGAACATGGACAAATCTCTGGGCCTTTCTGAACTGAGCATATGGGTTAATTATCCCTGGGTTGAGCATGTCTACCTGCATTGGATGCCCACACTTCTACATGGGCGTTGTCAGCTATGACCTGCTGGTACAACTGCCACCTGTGGTTTCCAATTCAATAGATGTGAAAAACCAGCAATCTGCCCCCCTTCCCTATTGTCTTCTGAACTTCCAGAATATATCACAGAAAATAGTAAGGAAATAAATAGTTCAGAATCAGAGTTGTTCTGTTAAAGAAAGAGCAAGAATCAAGATTCGAAGTGTCTCAGCATTCAAAGAAGCAGAAAATTTTAATATCCACAGGCAAATTCTGCCCTCTGGGGAGCCTGGATTCTAGAAGAAATAAGAGAGCAATGCAGTGAAAGAGGTGAGACAAAAGCTTTTCAAGCACTCTGGAATCACTTGGAGACTGGGTTATTACCCTGGCAAAGTTATTAAAGCTAATTTTTCCAAATCCTTTACTCAAAAGGGTCACCTCAGGATAACTGGCGACCTGGCCTGAAGTTATGTTTATTTTTAAGATGATAGTTTTACACTTGATCTTAGCCAAAAGGCTGAGAAGTGATAAGATCATAGTTTTAAAAGGCTAGTAATAATTTCTACATATGCCTTTGCACCAAAGACTTAAAGGACTAACTTTTTCATTCATAAAGGTGCTTCAGGAGAGAGGTTTAAAATGTTGGGTCATAGTTGGCAAAGGGAGACTGTGCTTTTGCTCACTACATTTATATAATTTATATAATATGTAGTACTTTTCCCTCCTCTGGGTTTGCTTTAAAAGCTACCAAGTTGGATAGCCATTCCATGTTTCCAAAGTAATTAACACGAACTTCTAACATAAGTACTTGTAACATTTACTGTTGAATGCTACTTTTAGTTTACTGATTCGAGCTTTTTTCAATACTAATAATGTTTAAAAATACTTTTAAAATCTAGGTAAGTAAATTTAATAATTAAAATAATAACAAAATTTACAATGAGAAGAAGTGTTTGTATTAATACTAGGGCAACAATGTGAGGATGCCCTGCTAGTGGACAAACCGTACCTGGAAGGACTTGCTTGGGAAAATGTGGTTAACAGCACAGTATCTGATTTTGTCTTTGTGCAGGGGGTGTTTCCTTTTTGTCTTTTTCCTTTTTGTAGGGGAACCACAACAGTGACAAGTTTAATATTGATGAGTTTGACCTCCTGCGAATTATAGTTTAAGGATCAAACCCTTTTTGAATACAAATGCTGTTTAATTTGTATGGTAAACACATAGAATTTTGGAGATTAGCATTTTAATCAACCCTAATCTCAGCATTTTCTGCTTCCCTTACCTCTCCTTTTTTTCTTTCCCCCAAAAGTTTCATCAACCAACTTTGGAAAGGACAGCTAAGGTCCTCCCCTGGACAAGCAGGGTCTGTGGAACAAGCGCAGCGCCAGGCGTAGTAATCTTTCCTTAGCCATAGGCTCAGGCACGTCAGAGCGCTCCAGGAGATGATCAATTGTCCAAGAAACAGAACAGCCCATTCATTCAACAAATATTTATTAAGGGGTCCGGAAGAAGCAGGCAGATGTGTGTGTGTGTGTGTGTGTGTGTGTGTGTGTGTGTGTAAGTGGCCGTGACATATGTCTTATGGCACTTCTAAACTGGACCCGGGCCTCGGTGCCCTCTCCGAGCCCCGTATGAAATGTTCTTCTGATCCGTTGAACTTTTCTCTTTGCAGGTCCTGGAGCTTTGAAGTTGCGGGTGCATCTCCCGCCAGGCGCGCTCTTCTCGAGGCGGCCCATGCATTCGATTTGCACGGTGCAGATTCAAGTCCCCGAGATAGAGGAAACGTTTTTCGCGCCGGAGTTCAGCGCGGAGCTGCCTGGGCACCGAGGGGGCGACGGCGGCGGGCGCAGGGCCAGGCCCGGGCTGCATCCCGAGCAGCCATTGGCGGGCGCGGCGCGCTGCACTGAGCATGTTCGCGCTCCGCTGGCTCCGGGCGGCAGTCGCAGCCGCAGCCGCAGCCGCAGGGACGGCGGGCGCGGGAGCCTCCGCGCATTATGCAAAGCGGCGGCAGATGCGAGCTGGGCCAGCCGGGCGCTCATCGGCCTCGCCTCCCAGCGGCTCGACCAGCTGCCTGATTTGCCCGCGAGACCCCCCTGGCCCGGGCCGGGGGCCGAGCAGGTCCGCGATGGCCTGAGTGCCCGGGGCGCGGCGGCGCAGCGGCGGGGTTGCAACATGGGGAACCAGGATGGGAAGCTGAAGAGGAGCGCAGGTGATGCCTCGCACGAAGGCGGCGGCGGCTGCGCCGAGGATGCTGCGGGGCCCAGGGATGTGGAAGCCACAAAGAAGGGCAGCGGGAGCAAGAAGGCGCTGGGCAAGCACGGCAAAGGGGGAGGGGGTGCCGGCGGGGAGTCCGGGAAGAGGAAGAGCAAGTCGGACGCCCGAGCCTCGGTGTTCTCCAACCTGCGGATCAGGAAGAACCTGTCCAAGGGGAAGGGCGCCGGCGGCTCCCGCGAAGATGTGCTGGACTCGCAGGCCCTGCAGACCGGGGAGCTGGACAGCGCTCACTCCCTGCGCACTAAGACCCCGGACCTCAGCCTCTCGGCGGACGAGACGGGTCTGTCGGACACCGAGTGCGCGGACCCCGAGTGCGCGGACCCCTTTGAGGTGACCCGCCCAGGGGGTCCCAGGCCTCCCGAGGCCGGGCCAGGGGTCCAGCCGGTCGCCGAGGATTTGGAAACTGCGGCAGGGGCGCAGGATGGACAAAGGACCAGCTCGGGCTCGGACACGGACATCTACAGCTTCCACTCGGCTGCAGAACAAGAGGATTTGCTCTCAGACATCCAGCAGGCGATCCGCCTGCAGCAGCTGCAGCTGCTCCAGGACGCCCGGGAGCCTGCAGAGACCCCCAGCGCCGCCTTCGCTCCGCCCGGGGCCTTCCTGGGCCTGGACCGCTTCCTGCAGGGGCCGAGCGGCGAGGACGCGGAGGCCCAGGGCGGTCCGCGCGCGGAGCAGGCGCCGTCCGCGCTCCCCGCCCCGCCGGAGAGCCCGGCCCCGCGCAGCCTCCCGGCCTCCGAGGCGCCCGGCGTCCCCGCGGCCCAGGCCCGTGTCACAGACTCGCCCTCGCGCACGGCCTTCCCGTTCCCCGAGGCCGGGCCAGGGGAGGGCGCAGACGCCGCGCCGGACACTGACGAGGAGGTCGAGGAGGATGCTTTCGAGGATGCCGCCCGAGGCTCTCCGGGGGAGGAGTGGGCCCCGCCGGTGGGGCCAGAGCCGCAGGAGCGGACGCCAGGGCCCGGTGTCCCCGCAGCGGCCGCCTCCCTGCCCGGCAGCCCGGCGCCCAGCCCGCGCTGCTTCAAGCCCTACCCGCTCGTCACCCCCTGCTACATCAAGACCACCACCCGCCAGCTCAGCTCGCCCAACCACTCCCCGTCTCAGTCCCCCAGCCAGAGCCCCAGGATCAAGAGGCGACCGGACGCCTCCCTGAGCCGGGGGCCCAGACCCGCCGTGGCCTCCGAGGCCGCCCCGGCCAAGAAGCAGCGGGCGGACGGGGGCCTCGCCGGGGGCCTCAGCCGCTCCGCCGACTGGACCGAGGAGCTGGGCGCCCGTGCGCCCCGGGCCGGAGGCTCGGCTCACCTGCTGGGGCACGGGCCGGCCGCGGACGGCGGCGGGGTGACCCCCGCGCTGGCCGCCAAGGCGTCTGGGGCGCCGGCGACTGCGGACGGCTTCCAGAACGTGTTCACAGGTGAGCGCGCCGGCCGGCCTCCAGGTGGCGGGTCGCCTGCCAGTCAGGGCCTCCCCCTGCCGCCCGCCCGCCTTCTGCCAGGGAATCCTGGCCAGCCCGTGCCCTCGGGGAAATGCCTTGGACAGACGCGTCGGTTCTGTTTTCTCACAGGGTGATAAAAGGGAGCGATTCAGGAGTATCTGTCCCCAGTCATCTCTACAAAGGGCTGCCCTGCTCATTTCCCCAAATATCGGCTGCTCTCCAGGGTTCTGGGTCCTTCCAGGCAGACTGACTCCTTTTGTGCCTTGTTAGCAAAACCACATTTTATTCCCTCCTTCCTGACTCGACAGCATTAAAAGAACAAGATTGTTTTCCTTCCGTTTTAAGGATCGATGTTGGAGACATAAGCCATTCCGTTACTTTACAAAGGTGATCTCTGACGGCTTGTATGTATGTGTGTATACGTGTGTACGCGAGTACACATGTACACGTATACACGTGATATATACTTTTTATCTTGCAGCCGTCTAACGGTACCTCTACTTTGTGAAGTTGAGCAGTCACCCCTCTTTGCTAATGCAAGCAAATCTGGTACATGCTACTAGAAAATGAAAACAGAATAGTATAATAGGGATGCTTTCATTTGGTTTCATGGTGCAATCAGAATGGCCTATGACAAGGAAGTAGTGAAGTTGAGGAGGCCAAAGGCACCATGTGGTCCAGCTGATACCTCTCTTTTTTACCATCTGTTATAGTCTAACACAGCTAAAACACAGCTGAAGAGTCAGTGTATGGTGGTAAATGTCAAGTAGTATAATGAATTTATCCTTTCTTATAGGCTGATTGGTCCCAAGGCCTTCCCTTAAATATCCATTTTTTTCCTGTATACTACTCTTAATTATTAAGTGAAATAGAGCGTTAGAATAGGAAAAAATACAAATTTTGGGGGCCAATACTAGTAAGTTTGTAATAAATATTTGAATAACTGAAAATTTCAAAAGCAATTTCAAAATCTTACGTTATTTAATAAAGAGGCTATCTGTAAAACACAGATGAAATTTCTCATTGGCTTTTCAGTTGGCTAGATGCTGTTGATATTGTGCTAGCTACTTTTATTGGCTACAATTTTATTTTCAGCTATGCACTGCTTTTATTTTGCATTTATAGAATCTTAAGTAGCTTCTCTATCTGAGCTTTGTTTTTTCACTTTCTTTCCTCCTTTTTCTTTTTTGTATAGTTTCAATACAGTTAAAAGGATATTCAGTTAAAAGGATATTTAGCCTTAAATCCATTAGATAAATTCTTAAAACAAAAACCAAAAGCAAACACACAGACCATTTTTGATGGAAGAAGACTGGAACATTCTTGAGTTTCTTTTTGAAGTCCAGGGGATTAAACTCAGGGCCTTGAGCATGTGGGAAAATGCTCTATTTTTGAGCAAAATCTTTGTGAATTTAGTGCTGGTGAGAAATCATGGATTTTCTCTTTGAGTCACATTTATTTACATAGTTTTCTCAAAATGAAAATTGTTCACTGTAATTATGATTTTCAGTGATTAATAATAATTGCTATTCCTAGTAGTATAAGACTTTGGAAATTTGTTTCATTCACTTGGCATGCACACACATGGACGAGCACACACACATGTGTGTGCAAACACACACTGGACAGCCGTGTTGTGCCAGGCAATATGCTAGATGGTAAGTGTTACACGGATTGTTTTTTTCCTGGTGCTGGGGATGCAACCCAGGGCCTCAGGCATACCAGGCAAACACTTTACCATGAACTGCATCCCCAGTCTGATACGCAGACTATTGAATCATGGTAACCTTTCACTGGGTGAAGAGGAGACACCAGTGAGTACCACCATCAGCGGTTAGAGGTAAAAGTCAGTGGTAGAGTACTTGCCTAGTATGTGTAGGACCTGCATTGCTTTCCCAACATCAGAAGAAAAATAAAGTCCAGTGTACAAGAATCTATATATCGGGGCCGGGAATTTAGCTCAGTTCGATCCCTGGTACCTAAATAAATAAATAAATAAATAAATGGAAATAAAACAAAGAAACAAAGTAGCCAAGACTTAGCACTTTTCAGCCTACAATATTAATCAGCCTTGTTGTGGGTGTGTGCATTAAAAAAAAAAAGAATCTATCTATCTACCTGTATATCTGTCTACAGATATGTAAGAGAGGGTCCTAAAAGCATCAGGGATATAGTGGTTTATCTCTTTGGGGTAGTGGAGAGGGCTTTTCAGATGAGGATTGAACAGAGTTCTGAAAGATCATAGGCCCTATAAAGGTTGAAATTTTGTTTCCTCTTAAAAATTATATTCTTGGACCTTGCATATCTTTTAAATTTCCTAGTGCCATATTCTCAAATTTGAAATTTAGGATCATAAAGGAACCCTGTGGTAGCACTTGGGTTTTGTTGACCTCTCCAAGCAGGTTTTTTTGTGTGTGCAGTACTGGGGATTGAACCCAGGGCCTTCACACTGAGCTAATCCCAGCCCTCTTTACTTTTTATTTTGAGATAGGGACTGGCTGAATTCCCAGGCAGGCTTGAGCTTGCAATCCTCCTGCCACATCCTCCCCAGCTGCTGAGATTACAGGCTGTAGGCATGTGCACAGCCGTGTCCAGGTTTCCAAGCAGATTTTTTATTGTGTGTAGTAAAAGCACAGGGTTAGCTGTTTTTGTGTGGACATTCCCTACTTTGTATTCGATAGTTGGATATAGCAGATATATTTTTGTATAGCAGCTTCATATATTAATCTCCTTCCTTCAAGAAAGGTTTGGTCAAGAAAAAAAAAATCAGTAGATTTAACCTAACCTGTGATTAAGAAGAAATGGTGAAAGAGGAAGAGGGGAAATGACTTTCTCAAGGTCATTCTGTGATTCCAGCAGAGGTAGAATGGAAAGTAGAATCCAAGTTTACTGATTCATGCCTGATCCTCTTGGTTATTTTTATGCAGCACTGTAAAGTAATATATAGAAGAAAAACTATTCTACAATGTTGTAGCATCTATCTATAGTATCTTCCTCTTATGGGATATTTTTTATTTCTGTTGCTAATGGGCACTCCTTTTGTGGTTGAATTTAGCCTTCCTTGGACTAAATGAAAGCTGATTGTTGGCCAGAGTGAATCAGATTCTTTTAAGGCAGCTTTCATGGAAACTCTTGGAGTAGTAGAAGGAATCCAGATCGACACAGGCCTCTATTTCTCAGCTGTTGACTCTTCCCTTGTCATCTGCCACATTTGCTTCTTTATCATACTCTGCTATTTTATGGGTGTCTTGGAAATTACATGGGGCTTGGGGAGCACTCTTTGTCCTTAGGGAACCAGTTCTTTGGCCTTTATTGTGCATGTATTTGGGCCAATTAATTGCCAGCTGCCTTGGAAGCAGGTGATCATTATACATATCTATAGGCTTCCATCAACATCTTTTATCTTTAAACCATAGAATAAAGGTTGTCAGTTCTGCAGGAAAGAACAGATGTTTCTTGCTTTTTACTGCCTTGCAAATTCAGGGAGAATATTCTGGTGAAGAGATTTCCATTTCACATGTTTGTGTCTTTTTTGGGAGATATAAAAACATTAGCAACGAGGGAGACCAAAACATTATCTTGTTTAGCTGTTAAGAAACTGATGATGTCTTAAGCCACTGCTCTTACAAACATCCCAATTAATGTGTTTGAAATATGTATTTTTCTGTGTTGAATAGAAAAGAACTGAGAGGTTTCTTTACTTTGTGGCTCTGGACTGCTAGTAATTATGCCCCACAAGATTGTGAACTTTTAACATTATTACATGATAATTTTTAGTGGTAGTTTTCATGACTCGATTGCACAGTGCTTGAATTTTGTAGGTGTAGGTGACAGTGGAACGCTGTGCAGGGGAGGGAGAAGCGTGGTGCTGACTCTGCCTCCTGTATCTGCCTCACAGTCCCTGTTGAAGCCCACGTGTATCAAATGTTCGTGGGTGAGTAAAGTGTAGTGATTCCTGGTGATAGGATTTCAAGCCACCTATGGGTGTGTGAGCCTACGACATTGGGTGTTTATTGTTATCAAGCAGACATGTAAGTTTTCTTATTTAATTATTAAACATGGACTCATATTATTTTGTAAAATATTTACTAAGTTAAATATAAAAAGGAACTTTTGTGACATATGTATGTATAGATATGTACTCTATAATATATTCTATGCAGGCCAAGACAATCCCATTTCACTCAGTGCTGCCCAGGCAAGTCAAAAGGTTGGACACTCATACTTTACACATTAATCATAGCAGAAGCCGGGTAATAGAGGTTTCTTCTTCCTTGTTTTTCTTTCTCTCCGTGTGTGTGTGTGTGTGTGTGTTGTGCTGGGGACAGAACCCATACTAAGCAGTTACTCTGTGGCTGACAGAGTACATTTCCAGCCCAGTAATACCGCCATGCAGTTGAGGTTTAGACATCGAACATGTTAAATACATGATGCTAAGACCCTTTTTTTTGCAGAGGTGGAGACGGAACCCAGGGCCCTGCCCACGCGAGGCAAGTGATCTACCACTGAGCTGTATCCCTAACCTGCTGAATCACTTTGATAGGACTCCTTCCAAAGTCAATTATGTGCTTATCTGTCTTCTTTAAAAGGCATGGTATAAAAATTTAATCTGTTTGAAAGAGTTTAATGTCATCTTCAGGTACATCATCTTATGAAAATGTTAGTGATTCCCTCAACAGCTATTTCAGGGTGGAGGCTGGTGGACTCAGCCTGCTGTTTCTGAGTTTTAGTGTTTTTATTGTTTCTCAACTCTTCCTCGCTGTCAGCTGTCTATTCTTAGAGCTATCTTTTATTTCTTCTCCAGCCCCCTGTCACACTTCTTCATGACTTGATTTTTCAGGTCAATTTTTTATTGGCTTGTAAAGCCTTCAATGGAGAAGTTAGTTTTACTTACTGCACTTCTACCAATGCCAGGCCCTATGTTGACACATTATATAATTTTCTGTAATCCTTACAACAGTCTTGAAGTAGAGTTGTTT